TAAAAGGCTGGTTGTGAAAGACAGTGCAGTGAATGCAGTCTGCTATGGGGCAAAGATCATGCTCCCGGGCGTTCTCCGATATGAGGATGGCTTCGAGGTCAACGAGGAGATCCTCGTCATCACCACCAGGGGAAGCAGTCTGCATGGCCATTGCGTTAATGACCACAGCAGTGATATCTACCTGTGACCATGGTATCGTAGCCAAGGTCAAGAGGGTAATCATGGAGAGAGACACGTATCCTCAAGAGTGGGGTTTAGGTCCAAAGGCAAGTCAGAAGAGGCTGATAATCAAGCAGGGCCTTCTGGATAAGCACAGCAAGCCCACAGATAGCACACCTGCCACCTGGATGCAGGAGTATGTGGACTACAGCGACTCTGCAAGGAAAGAGGCGGTAGCCAAGGCAGGAACAGCCCCACAGGAAGTCACCGAGGTGGTAAAATCCCCCAAAGTGGCTGCCGAAGTGGTGAAAGCCCCAAAGCGGAAGCGAGACAGTGAGAGTGATGAGATGTCCTCGCAACTGCTGGAGAAGAAGAAGAAGGAGAAGGAGAAGGAGAAGGAGAAGGAAAAGAGAAGGAAGAAAAGAAGAAGAAGAAGAAGAAGAAGAAGAAGAAGAAGAAGAAGAAGAAGAAGAAAAGTGGAAGTGGTTTTGCAGTAGTGGATGCCAGTTCTGGCACTGTGCCCCTTTGGGAGGAGAAATTAAAGCCTTACTGAGAAAAGGTGACTCTTTTGTTCTTGAGGGAATGGAACGCAGGTCCCAGGAAGCATGGAGAGTTCCGGGGCACCTCAGCTGCTCCCTGAGAACTCAGTGAGGAGTCTTGCTGGGAGAAGGTTGTACTTTTTACTTATTAAAGTCTACTTTAAAAAAAAAAAAAGATTCATTTTCCTCATCTGTAAAAGGGGGAGAATGACTCCCTTCCAAGATTTGTTCTGAGGTTAGAGATCAAAGACGTTGTCCCCAGAGAGCCTAGTACACTATGACTCAACGTGGCCTTATTATACCTGGAACTTTCTCCTTGTTTCTCATCTTGCTGTTAATGGGGGGCTCAGGTGCTTGCATTGACACAGAGGGCAGGATGGGTACAGTTGAAGAGTAATTGCAGTTAAAGCCAGGATAAAGAGTATCAAGTAGTTAAGCCCTTCAGGGGGAAATATTAAAAAAATGGTTTTTGGGGGCACCTCGGGGGGCTCAGCGGTTTAGCGCCACCTTTAGCCCAGGGCCTGATCCTGGAGACCCAGGATCGAGTCCCACGTGGGGCTCCCTGCATGGAGTCTGCTTCTCTCTCTGCCTGTGTCTCTGCCATTCTCTCTGTGTCTCTCATGAATAAATAAATAAAATCTTTTTTAAAAATGTTTTTTAAAAGATTTTGTTTTTAAGTGGTCTGCATCCAACATGGGGCTCGGCCTCAGAACCCTGAGATCCAAGAGTCGCACGCTCCACTACTGAGCCAGCTAGGCGCCCCACTAATTTTTTCTTAAATGAGAACCTATGCCTTGGGTCACAGAGTACACAGGGTTTTTTCTTCCAACAGGAATTGTTTTCTTTGGTCACAGTGGAAACAGCTTTGGTGCTGAGCACACTCTTCTGTGATGCACGTCAGGGAACTGGGTACTCACTGCTCTGAAGGCAGTGCCTGCTGCACACTTTGTTTTTGGTGCTTTGTTTTTGGTGCTTTGTTGTCTGGGACCCCAGCTGGTGAGCTCAGAGTGAAGGGATCCAGTTCCACAGGCCAGAGCCTGCCTCACAGTGTGGGAGAGAGAGCTATAAGGCCAGTGGCTGTGGGGTGACAAGTGCATACTTGGTAAAAAAAAAAAAAAAAAAAAAAAAAAAAAAAGCCATGTAGGGTACTATTTCCTGTCTTTGCCAGGAAAATTACATTGGAGGGGATATAAAGTTCCAAAAGTAGAGCTTGCGTGGTAAGTAAACGTAATTAAAAGTGGGAGCTTCTTCCCTGTAATCAGAGAGCTCTCTTAAGGCTGTTCCCCACAAAGTCACACGCCACGACCAACCAACTGGAAGACATATCTGATAGATCACTAAGTATACACTGTATTTATATTGTGATAAAAACTCTTGCTATTCTTTTTAGGCCTCTCAATGGAAGAGAACATTTTGTACAAATTATTCTCATTTCCATTCCCAACCTTAAATTTTTAAATTTTATGTTTAAAATTTTGTTGTGGTAAGAACACTTAACATGAGATCTACCCTCTGGGCAGATTTTTAAGTGTGCAATCCAGTAACCTACAAGTGTAGTGCTGTAGAGTAGATCCCTAGAACTCCCTCATCTTGCATAACTGGAGTTTTAGACCCATTGATTAGCCACTTGCCATTTCCCCCTTCTCTCAGGCCCTGGCAACCACCATTCTATTTCTTACTTCTACGGGTTTGACTATTATAGCTAACTCACGTAAGTGCAGTCATTCAGTATTTGTCCTTCTGTGTCTAAGTCTCAATTTTTTTAAAGTACCATTTTTTTTCCTGATAATATAATACACCATCATTGCAGAAAACTTGGATAAAAAACAAAACAAACAAAAAATCCCACAGCTCAAAGAAAACCTTTCAAAACATTTGGGTATGTTTTAAGGTTGCCCACCTTATGAGATCAGCCTACTTCAAGCCCTCTCATCCCCTCCCTCCTCCCAGATGTTCACGCTCAATGGGCTTCTTTTCCTTCCACATCAGCAAGCTCTTCTGTGGCAGGGCCTCTGAACATATGGGGCTCATCCTGAGGCAGAAGAGTGTTCCCTATTCCCTAATTAACCCCTCTCACCCTTCAGATAGTATCTTAATCATCACACCTTCACAATCCTCCCCTGATCCCCCTAGCCACTCCAACACTCATCTGAGCATACATAATTTTACCTTGTTATATCTTCTTTATGCACCTTGAATTTTTTTTCCCTTATAGCATTTGGCCAAGGTTGTAGGCATATGCCTTATTTGTTCAATGTTCATCTCCCAACATAATCTCCAAGAGGGGTACACTGTGCTTTTTGGGCGCTCCAGTTTATCCAAAGCACAAAGTACCATGTCTTACCTATAATAAATGGAATAATATATACAAATTTACCTCATGTCTTTTAGTAGCTTTACAAATCTTTAAGCATATTTTTGATGATTGTTTGAGAGAAAGTTTCAATACATATGTATTAGTTTTCTGGGGCTACCATAACAAAATACCACAGACTGGATGACATAAACAGTAGAAATTTATTTTCTCACAGTTCTGGAAGTTAAAAGTCTGAGATAAAGGTGTCAACAGGCTTGATTTCTTCCAAGGCCTCTCTCCTTGGCTTACAGATGGCTACCTTCTTGCTGTGTCCTCACATGGTATGTCCTCTATGGGGGCATATCCCTGGCATCTCTTTATGTATCCAAATTTCTTTTTCTTATAAGGGCACAAGTCAGACTGGAGTAGGACCCACTATAATGGTCTAATTTTAACTTAGTCTTTAGAGGCCCTGACTCCAAATATAGTCATCTTCTGATGTACTCACATAAGGCTTCAACCTATGAATTTGGGGCAGGAGGACATAATTCAGCAAAAAACAACATACAATGGATGGATCCAAGGAGGGGAATATTTTAAGCCTTCTGACACATATTACCAACAATTTTCTAGGAAGGATGTACATATTTGAAGTCCTACCAGCAAGGAAGACTGTGCTTATCTCCTTGCACTTTTGCCAGTGTTGGTACCATTAAGTAACATTTTTTTTTTTACCTGAAAGGCAAAAATTGTATATTATTTCATTTTCTTTTTTAAAATAATTTTATTTATTTATTCATGAGAGACACACACAGAGAGACGCAGAGACACAGGCAGGAGGAGAAGCAGGCTCCATGCAGGGAGCCCGACATAGGACTCGATCCCAGGACTCCAGGATCATGCCCTGGGTCGAAGGAAGTTGCCAAACCACTGAGCCACCCGGGGATCCCCATATTATTTCATTTTCCATAGTTTTTGACTGCTAATAAGCATAAAGAATTTTTACCCATTAGTATTTCATTTTCTTTCATTCATTATATATTTATTCATCATATATTTTTTTTAATTAAGATTTTATTTTTATGTAATCTCTACGAGGGATACTATGAAGAGGGAACTCAAGGGGCAGAAACTCAGAGGCAATGTCTAGGCTAACAATATAAAGTAGGAAATCAGATTAGAGTTAGAAATCGAAGCCTGAGGATGAGATACTTTGGGAGACAGTGTAATGTGAGCAAGGAAAGGAAGGGAAGGAAGACTGGTTTAGAACTTGGAGGAAGTCCAGTAGATATGATCAGCTAGAAGGAGGGAGAAGTGAGTAAAAATGTCTAAAACACAGTGGCAGGAAGATGGCCCTTGAGGCTGCAGTGGTAGATGGCAAGGGAAGATTGTTTCCAGGGGGGCCACATGGGCTCCTGCACTGAATGCTCCAGAATAATTAAAGGTCAAAAGTGCACAGAATTCGGCAACATATACTTATTTATTTTCAGGACATCTAGTAAGCATTACTAATGTGTAGCAAATATTTTTAAGGTTTTTCAGCTTACCATTAATTTTGTTTATATGGCTTATGATGCACGTTAGCTTTATTTTTACGTAAATTAATTTTTTTTCCTTATGACTTTTCCCATTGCTCTTTTGCTTAGAAATTCTTTCTTCATATAGGAATCACATACATATCCACCTTTGCATTATTTCTTAAACATGTATGGCTTCATTAAAGTTTTTTTTTAAATATAATCTTGGAATTTATTTTTACATATCAATTTAAGGTGTGGAATGCTTCATTATTCTACCCTAATGGTAGAGGATGAACCAAGCTAGTCTTGGGATGTTCTACCTAATGTTTTAAATAATTGGCTCTATTTCATTGTAGAGGAAGGTCCTATTGATCAAAAAGGTAAGATTTCAGTTCAACATGAGATTGTTAAGTTGATAATGTATGTATATTCAGTCCCTGTGCAGTCTCTTTATATTGCAAAAATTTTTTTATTCTATATTCCCAGTTTCCTGTGTTTCCCAGAATCCCATCATCTAACAGCCATCCCAGAAGGCATTCTCATGAGGGCCAGGGATTTCAATGCCATTCCCACATCCCAGATTACAGAAAATTCTCAGCAGATGAGTCACGCAATGAGCCGCTGGAATCAAAAAGAAGATCCCATTCCAAAATTCAAGCATTTCCAGAGTCTTTTGAGCAGCAATTGTGCTTTAGAACCAAACGCTCTGCGTCTTTGGTATGTAACAGAATTGTTGAATATTTAACCACTTTAAAAAGGGAAACCCAATGGATTCCTCCTCCCCAACTTTGAGGAGAACAAATCTAACTTCTTCATTTATAGCTTAGTGATAAGGTCTTTGACAAATGACAGTTTTAGATAGCCCAGGTGTGTATACATTTTTAAATTATTTTTATTGGAGACCCCTGGTGTAGGAAGAATTCCTGGAGGGCCAGAGGTAGGATATTTTTGTTACCGAAGTCCTCTGTTTTTTTTTTTTTTTTTTGAGACAATTAGAAATAATTGTGACTTGTTTTTCTTTCACTATTTGAAGAAGGGGGAAAACTACCCAACTGTTCCTATCCTTTCGCATTTAATCCAGCAGCGAATAGTGTATGATGGTAGCATGTTCCCTTGTACTTCTAAAAAAAACATGCAAAAGGAATTATCCAACTGTCTAGTAAGTATCGAGGAGTAGGAGCTGTCCAGGCATTTAGAATGGCCTGTGGGAGTCTAAGTAAAGCACAAAGGAGAGCAAAGGAGAGGACAGGCATGGAACGGGGGAAGAATAGAAACTCCACTGATAATGCCAAACTCAATACATAAAGTAATAAACTAGAGACAGATTAATTGGGGGATAGTTTTCAACTCTGCAACATGTTCACTGAGTGGCCTTGAACAAAATAACTTCTTTGTTCTGGGTTTTTGTTTTTTTGTTCTATTTTGCAAAACAGGAATAATAATGTGGCTCTGCCATGTAGTAGGCAGAACAATAACTGACCAGGTGTATTGCCACCTGATTCTTGAGCTGTGCTCTGTGAATGTACAGAGGAGGACATGTGGCTGCTTCCTGCCTCATTGCACACCTGAACACAACGCTTTCTGCTTAGCAGTGACTGCTGTTGGGACTGTCCCCATGCATCTTTGCCTCATAGGTGGCACGTCACTTTTATCAGAGAGTGACTCTGCGTATGATTCCCCTTCAGTAGAGGAATAAAGAAGGAAGAATAGAAAGCAGCTGTCACTTATCCTTTCTAAATCTTATTAAAAGTTACTGTTTTATCTTTTTCCTTGTATTGTTTTTTTAAAAATATGGTTTCAGGGGATGCCTGGGAGGCTCAGCAGTTGACCTCTGCCTTTGGCTTAGGGTGTGATCCATGTCCTGGGATCGAGTTCTACATCAGGCTTCCCACAGAGAGCCTGCTTCTCCCTCTGCCTCTGTCTCTGCCTCTCTCTCTGTGTCTCTCATGAATAAATAAATGACATCTTAAAAAATTATGGTTTCAGACTTAGAATGGTAGCGAGAATAGTATAAAAAATACACTCTTCATTTAGATTTCCTCCAAGTTAATATGGTATATTTACTTATATCCTCTCTCCCCTTCCAAGCCCCGAGACAAGGGCAGGAAAACATTCTGTTACAGAAACAGGGTATAGTAATTAAACTCAGGAAATTAACACCAATACAATACTTTTATAACTAAGTATTGACCTCATTCATATTTTGCCAGTTGTTCCAATAATATTCTCTATAGTGAACCTCCAGATTATGTAATGCAGCTTATTTTCGCATCCCTCTAATTGATATTTATTCTGTAAACAGTTCCTCAGTCTTTCCATGTCTTTCATGATACTGACCTCTGAAGAATACAGGCCAGTTATCTTTTAGAATGATGCCTCGCTTGCGTTTATCTGGTATTTCCTCATGACTAGATTTAGATTATGAACTTTCAGCAGGAATATAGCAGGAGTGCAAGAATTCTTGTTTTAAAATTACATGTTCAAGTCATTAATTATATTAATTTGGGAGACATAGCTGCCTTAAGTTTTTTCTGGAGCAAGTTATGGGATAAATGTATTTTGAAAAAAATTTTAATCTGAACTGTTCTTTTTCTGAAGTTCTCAGAAAAAATTTCACATAACAACACATCTTATGGAACAGCTTATATGGTGCCATTTGCTAATATTGTAAGCCCTAACAGTGTGTAAACATGAAATCAATTCTCTTATTTATTTTTTTTAAGATTTACTTATTTTATTTTATTTTTTTTTAATTTTATAAATTAATGTTTATTGGTGTTCAATTTACCAACATACAGAATAACACCCAGTGCTCATCCCGTCAAGTGTACCCCTCAGTGCCCGTCACCCATTCACCCCCACCCCCCGCCCTCCTCCCCCTCCACCACCCCTAGTTCACAATTCTCTTATTTAAAGAGATACTCACCACCTCATCCCTAAAATATCAAATATGTTTGCTAATATTTCCTTTCTTTTTTTAAAGATTTTATTTATTTATTCATGAGAGACAGAGAGACAGAGACACAAGCAGAGGGAGAAACAGGCTCCATGCAGGGGTGGGACTCAATCCCAGATCTCCAGGATCAGGCCCTGGGCTGAAGGCGGCACTAAACCACTGAGCCACCCGGGCTACCCTAATATTTCCTTTCTCAAGCTCTTCCTTTTGAGTGCCGAGGCAATCAAGATAGCATTTTCAATTTTTTGACTCAAGAATTCTTTTCACAGTTACATATAGTAGCTAGAAACCTGCTAGGAATTTATAAAATCATTAATTTTTTTCTTATTACATATATAAACATATAGGATAAATAATTTTATTAAATATTTTATATCAATTTTAAAGAACTTTTTATAAAGCTTTTCCTAATGTAAAATTAAAAATTTAGAACATACATACACTTTAAAACTTGTTCTTACTTAGAGACTGACATAGTTTTCTAAAGCTAACTACACTGGAAAGTATATTTTTATCAGCAAATCTAAAACTGATTTATATTTTGGTTGGGGACCAAATGTTAAGTAATATGTAGATTAAAATTTCATATCTTTTAGCATCAAAAGGATCCAGAAGCTAATTTTGTGATCTGATCATGACCAACAACATTAAATTCTTTCATTTTGGTATTGAAAACCTCAATTGTCTTATTTTGAGAATTTTTATGTTTTATTTCTTTTTTCTTTTTGAAGATTTTATTTATTTATTCATGAGAGACACAGAGAGACGCAGAGACATAGGCAGAGGGACAAGCAGGATCCCCATGGGGAGCCCGATATGGGACTTGATCCCAGGACTCCAGGATCACGACCCGAGCCAAAGGCAGATGCTCAACCACTAAGCCACCTAGATGCCCCTACATTTTGTTTCTAAATAATGAAATAAAAAAAGATTTCAGTTCACTATTTACAATCATTTTTCAAATAGTCTTTATTCCCAATAAGGGAAAAGCCATTACTTTGTTTTGAGAAGGATCATCACTATTTTTTCTCTTTTTTATTCCATTCTTATAAGCATTAGAGATATTCATGACTGCTACATATGAACTTTTTTAAAATTTTTATTTATTTATGATAGTCACAGAGAGAGAAAGAGAGAGGCAGAGACACAGGCAGAGGGAGAAGCAGGCTCCATGCACCGGGAGCCCGACATGGGATTCGATCCCGGGTCTCCAGGATCGCGCCCTGGGCCAAAGGCAGGCGCCAAACCGCTGCGCCACCCAGGGATCCCCTACATATGAACTTTGATCAGACCGCTGGATCTAATACAACTGCTAGGTCTAATGAAAATAATCTGGAAACACATTTACAGAATGAGCACAATCTTTAAGTTTCTCTTAACTTTCATCTCAGCATCATCATTTGTTTTGCTTTGTGACTCTGGCCACTGGACCCCTATAGATAGAAATGAAGCCATTTAGGTATAAAAAAATTTAGCGCTGAGGAGTAGCTGACACCACCGTAGTAAACAGACACCCTCGTAACTCGGCCTGCAGGGTTGAATCGTGATATTGCTCATCTCACTGCCACTCATCACAGTGTATGTTCACTTGATAGATGCTCAGGCATTGCCCACCATTTCCAGTTCCAATAGAGGAGGGGGAGAGTGATGGTGTTATTTGTTATAGGAGTGTAAGTAGGTGCCTACTTACACATTTATCAATGCCATTCTTTGGTTGGTAATTCCTTTGAGAGACACTCTTTGACCATGGAAACTAAAGAAGGCTTCCCCGTTCCCACCATACATCCCTATCACCTCACCCTGTTTGCTCATTATCAGTGCACTGATCACTATCTGTGATGTTCTTATCTCCTCTTAGGCTTATTGATGGTCTGTCAGTGTCCACCGAGGTGAAATTTCGAAGAAGTAGAGTTTCTTTAGTTTGTGCTGTACCAGCTGGGGAATGTGGTTGGATGTCATTCCTCAACACTTCATTCTTCACATAGTCCTCACATTAAAACTTAGTGCAAACTCTACTGTTAATGTAATTTAAAGAAGTAGACACTGGGGGGTTAGAATCATTCCAAGTATGATTCGCTTGCCATATTCCTTTTCAGAAAGCACCGAGACACTATTAATTATATCACACTGTGAAATCACATCCCTCTATATGTCAGAGTTGTGTATGGGTGGAGTTTCCCCCACAGACTGTTGCTGACACCCCAAGGCCCCATCCATTTTATTTATAACTAAAACTTTTAGCAACACCCTAGGCCTTCTGCTAATTTATTATGAGAAACTACGATGTGGAAGTCTACTAAGTGACAAGGGATTTTTTTCATTTCTGATAGGATAAATGTGGCATGTCAGTTGTTGGCACATTTCTACCCTTTTCTGACCTTTGTCTTTCAGGGACCGGAGAGCAGAAGGGAGAGAAATGAAAGGGAATGCCTGAGGATGGAGATAAGATCTCAAAAGAAAGTAGAGGAAAAAAGCAGCTCTAGGAAGGAAGAACATGGAGAAGTATGCATGCCCCCCTTGTTTGAAAAAGAGTCCAAATAATATTTTGTTTCCACATCATTTCTACAGATTCTACTGTGTTTTTTGGGTTCCAGAACACCAGGCCAGGGGGTGGTAGCTATGAACGAGTGTCCTCAGATGCTGAGTGACCACTGGGTGGGGGGTTGGGAGTGTGATCTGCTGTGTTGTCTTTTTATGGGAATAAGGAGAAGAAAAGGTATTTTAACAGAATAAGTGATTCTTAAAAATGTAAAGAAAGATATTGAAAGAGCCACCCACCCATCTTCAGTAACTCTTCTTCCACATCAACCTTGCAAATAATTTAAAATAAAAGTCATTGGTGTCACTCTAAGTTTACTTCTTTATCAGATGTAATTATGTAAGTGTGTCTAACGCCATCATTTAATGAGACCTGATAATTAGCATGCCAAGCACTGTGCTGAGTTCTTTAATGCCTTACCTAAAAGAATCCTCCCTACTCTGAAGTGGGACCTATTCCTTCCCCTTGCTAGTTGAGGAAATGGGAATTTAGACACGTCCAGGAGCCCATTAGTGAGGTGTCAAGAGTTAGGGCCGGAGCCCAGTTCATTCTGGCTCATGTTCCTAACCTGAGGCAGGACCTTCATTTCCTTTTAGCACTGGCTCCTGACTTGGTGCGTGTGTGTGATGTGCATGGAATGAGTGGATGTGAGTGAGAAAATCAGGAGCTGGGAGCAGCTTATGATTTTGATTACACGGGTGGAGACTGGTTTTCTGAGGTCAGCTTTATGCTCTGGGCTTTAACTTTATGAGAACATATTCTTATTTATTTATTTTGTTTTATATTGAGACATAACTGACATAGAACATTATATCAGCTTCAGGTGTACAGCATAATAATTTGATATTTTTAATATGTGGTTAAATTATCACCACAATACATCTGGTTAACATCCACGAATGCGCATAGTTACACAATTTTTTTCTCGTAATACGAACATTTAAGATTTACTATCTTAGCAACCTGCAAACATACAATAGATTGTTACTAGTTATAGTCACCATGCTTACCTTATATCCCACGACTTATTTAAAATATAGAGAATGCTTCATGAATTTGTGTGTCATCCTTGCACAGGGGCCATGCTCATCTCTGTATCATTCCAATTTTAGTATATGCGTTGCTAAAGTGAATGTTTCCTTTTCCCCCTTAATTTTCAGCTTTATTGAGGTATAATTGACAAATAAACTGATATGTTTTAAGTTGTACAAACATGATGATTTGACATATGTATCCTTTGTGAAATGGTTACTGTAATTGGGTTAAATAACACATTGAGGCCATGTGCTATCACTATTTTTCTTCCCTAGAAGAAAAGATACTATAACTTTCCCTATTTATCCTATTTTTATACTGAAGTATAATTGACATTTAACATTATATTAGTTTCAGGTGTACAACATAATGATTTGATTTTTGTATACTTTGTGAAATGATCACCAAAGTCTCATTAACATCCATCATGACACATAGTCATAAAATCTTCTTTTTCTTATGATGAGAAATTTTTCCCCTTAAAAAGCCCCCAGTTTTATTATGGTATCATTGATATCCTAAAACTGCACAAATTTAATGTACACAATTTGATGAGTTTGGACATACATATGAGCCCATGGAACCATCACCACCAATCCTCAGTTCTTCTTCTTTACTCCTCAGGAATGCTCAGAAGCATGGCATATCTTAATTACTTTTACAATTCATACAAGTCCTCTCTTTTTTTTTTAATTTTTATTTATCTACCATAGTCACACACACACACAGAGAGAGAGAGAGAGAGAGAGAGAGAGGCAGAGACACAGGCAGAGGGAGAAGCAGGCTCCATGCACCAGGAGCCCGACGTGGGATTCGATCCTGGGTCTCCAGGATCGTGCCCTGGGCCAAAAGCAGGCGCCAAACCGCTGCGCCACCCAGGGATCCTAAGTCTTCTCTTCTTAATATGGATCCTTTTTTTCCCCCAAGTAGGCTCTACGGCCAGCATAGAGCCCAACGTGGGGCTTGAACTTACTACCCTGAGATCAAGACCTGAGTTGAGATCAAGAGTTGGATACTTAACTGACTGAGCCATTCAGGCACCCCAGTATGGATCCCTTTTTGAAATTACTTGAGGCAAAATTAGTATGTTTGAGAAAGTTATCCTCATAGTCAGGTATGATGAGAGCTTTTAAGATCTACTCTCTCAGCAACTTTCGAATATGAAACACAGTATTACTGACTGTAGTCATCATGCTGTACATTACATCCTTTTGACTATTTTATAACTGGGAGTTTGTACCTCTTAATGTCCTTCACCCATTCCACTCACTCCTTTAGCCCCCGCTCCTCTCAGGCAACAACCAGTCAGTTCCCTGTATCTAGGAGTTTTGTTCTATTTGCTCATTTGTTTGTTTTTACATGTAAGTAAAATCATATGGTATTTGTCTTTCTCTGTCTCACCTATTATTCATTTAGCATAAGGCCCTCAAGGTCCATTCATATTGTTGCAAATGGCAAGATTTCATTTTTTTGCGGCTGAATAAGTATCAATTCATCTATCAGTGGACACTTGGGCTGTTTCCACACTTTGGCTATTGTAAGTAATGCTGCAATAAACATAGGGGTTTTGAATTAGCCTTTTCATATTCTTTTGTAAAAACCCAGTAGTGCAATTACTGGAGCATATGGTAGTTCTATTTTTAATTTTTTTTCTATTTTTAATTTTTTGAGGAACATTCATACTGTTTTCCACAGTAGCTGCACGAGTTTGCATTCCCACCAACAGTGCATGAGGGTTCGTTTTTCCTCCACATCCTTGCCAACGCTTGTTTTTTGTGTTTTTGATATTAGCCATTCTGACAGGTATGAGGTAACATCTCAATGTGGTTTTATTTTTTATTTCAAGTTTTTATTTATTTTTTAAAGATTTTATTTATTTATTTATTTATTTATTTATTTATTTATTTATTTATGAGAGACACACAGAGAGAGGCAGACAAATAGGCAGAGGGAGAAGCAGGCAGGGAGCCTGATTCAAGACTCTATCCCAGGACCCCGGGATCACACCCTGAGCCCAAGGCAGATGCTCAACTACTTAGCCACCCAGGCCCCCTTTTATTTCAAGTTTTAATTTAAATTCCAATTAACGTATGGTATAATATTAGTTTCAGGAGTAGAATTTAGTGATTCATCACTTATATACAGTACCCAGTGCTCATCACAACATGTGCCCTCATTAATACCTATCACCCATTTAACCCACAGCCCTGCCCACCTCCCATCCAGCAACCCCCAGTTTGTTCTCTATAGTTAAGAATCTGTTTTATGATTTGCCTTTCTCCTTTTTTTATCTCCCGTATTTTGTTTCATTTCTTAAATTCCACACATGAGTGAAAGCATATGATATTTGTCTTTGACTTATTTCACTCAGCATAATACACTCTGGCTCCATCTCTGTTATTGCAAATGACAAGATTTCATTTTTTGATAGTTGAATAATATTCCTTTATATATATGCCACATGTTCTGTATCTATTCATCAGTCGATGGATATTTGGGTTCTTCCCATAATTTAGCTATTACTGATAATGCTGCTGTAAACATCAGGGTGCACGTGTCCCTCAAATCAGTGCTTTTGTATCCTTTGGGTAAATATCTAGTATTTATCGCAATTGCTGAGTCATAGGGTAGTTCTCTTTTTAACTTTATGAGGAACCCCTGTCCTCTTTTTCAGAGTGGCTACCACAGTTTGCATTCCCACTAACAGTATGAGAGGGCTCTCTTTTCTCTGCATCCTTGCAAATACCCGTTGTTTCCTGTCTTGTTAATTTTAGCCATTCTGACAGGTGTGAGGTGGTATCTCATTGTAGTTTTGATTAGTCTTTCCCTGATGATGAGGGATGTTGAGCATCTTTTCAAGCGTCTGTTGGCCCTCTGGATGTCTTCTTAGGAGAAATGTCTATTTGTGTCTTCTGCCCATTTCTTAACTGGATTAGTTTTTTGGGTGTTGAGTTTGATAAGTTCCTTATAGATTTTGGATACTAATCCTTTATTGGATAAGTCATTTGCAAATATCTTCTCCATTGTGAAGGTTGCCTTTTAGTTTTGTTGAGTGCTTCCTTCTCCGTACAGAAGATTTTATCCTGATGAAGTCCCAATAGTTCAGTTTTGCTCTTGTTTCCCTTGCCTCCAGAGATGTGTCTAGCAAGAAGTTGCTACGGCTGAGGTCAAAGAAGTTGCTGCCTGTGTTCTCCTCCAGGATTTTGATGGATTTTTGTCTCACATTCAGGTCTTTCATCTATTTTGAATTTATTTTTTTATGGTCTAAGAAAGTGGACCACTTTTATTGTGGCTTTGACGGCATTTCTCTGATCGTGAGTGATGTTGAGTGAAAATTTTCAATTTTAATGCAACTTGTACCTCCATCCATTTTGGATTGGCACCTTAATGTAGATTTTAAATGCAGTATGATGCTTTTTCACACATGTAAAAGAGGATTGTTCAGCCATTACCTGGTGTTGTTTGACTGTTATTTGTCATCACTGAGGGGGAGAATAGGGCCTGACCTGACATCAAAATCTGTATTCTGCTGTAGTTGTGAAGAAAATAGTTGTTTCCCTACCCTTGCTTCATATATTTTTCAGTCTTGTCAATGAAGTTTCAGATTTGGAGATGGTCTGCTGATAGAATATAGAAAAGTCTGGGGAGAGGTGGCCCATCCATGGGAAAAGGAGACCCCTGGATGGAGCGGCTGGCTGGCTGACACAAGTTCCCCTCCCTAGACTCAAGAATAGCAATACCTGTAAAAATCATGGTTAGGAATTTTGTAATATATTTCCTCAAACTGGAAGGAAGTCTATTTTCAACATACTATCAGGATCATAGCATGTGGAGGAGGGGGCACTCTGAAAGGGAAGTTGTCAGCTGATTGCTTTTTGCTAATATCATAAAATGACACTTCCTAGAATAAAAATACAGATAAAGGAAAAGAGTAGAAATTAAAACCTTTTAATCTACCTATTCAGGGATATACATGGTTAATACTTTGGTGTTTGTCCATCCAGAGTATTATCTGTATATATATACACAGATATACACACACACACACACATAAAAAAACTTTTTTCAGACATGAGGTCATTTCAGTTAACAATCAAACATTAACATCCTTTCCAATCAGTAGGTCTAGTGCATAATTTTAATGATTCCTTTCCTACAGCTTTTAAACATGCTTGAGATCCTTCGATCTTCTCTCATGATATACCAATAGGTATCATCCTTGATATCCCATAGTTACCATTTTAGCTGGTAACTATCTTCTCTTTCATAGAAAACTTGGATTTATCTACATTTCCTTCTCAGTGTTTAGTCTGTGGCAATTTTCAGTCTGTAGCGTAGGATAGATAGAGGCAGTCCACCTGCTATAGGAAATGTTTTCATGCAAGTCACCCACGATCTCCTTAGTGCCAAATTCTGTGAAAATAGCCCTCCCTCCCTTCCTTACTTTCTGGCGGCATCTGACACTGCTGTCCACTCTGTCCCTTTTGAAGCTTTTGCTTTGGTTCTTGTGACCTATATCCTTTTGGGTTTCCTGGTGCCGTGATCACTCCTGGTTGGTCTTTGGTGATGGATCCTTATCCTGTGAATGCTGGTTTTCCTTTGTACTCTGCCTGGGTACTTCTCTCACTCCTTATTCCCTCTGGGGAATTTCATACATTCCCGTGGCATCAGCTACGTACCTACATGAGTAAGATCCCCAAATCTATCCTGTGGTGCAGACTTCTCTCCAAAGCACCACACTCACATACACAGCTGGCCCGTGGACATAGAATTGGTTGCAGATTTCGCAGGCATCTCAAACTCATCTTTTAAAAGTAAGCTAAGCTTTCTTGCACTGTCTGTTCCCAGTCTGCCATTCCTCCCGTATTCCGTATCTCAGTGAATGGTAGCATCATTTGCCAGTTGTCACATGAGAACCTGGTTAGGTTTAAGGCCATCTTGCACTCCTCTCCTTCTCCATCCAAATAATCATCAGCTTCTGCCTACTTTGCCTTTAAATATCACTTGGATTCACCCAATTCTCTTCATTCTCGTTGCCACTATATGAGGCCCATTATAACTTATATTTATTCCGACAAAAATGAGGATATTTTGTGTATAT